GGGGAGCCCGTGGACCATGTGTCAGGAATAGGGAGCAGTCCAGTGGGACCGGGGAGCTGGTGGACCGCGTGTCAGGAACAAGGAGCAGTCCAGTGGGACGGGGGAGCCTGTGGACCATGTGTCAGGAACAGGGAGCAGTCCAGTGGGATGGGGGAGCCGGTGGACCGCGTGTCAGGAACAGGGAGCAGTCCAATGTAATTTAAAAGTAGAACCTGAAAGTGAAATTAGGCCCATACTTTGGAGGGTTTTAAAAATCTAGGTGAAGACTTTACATTTCATTTCTTAGGATATGAGCAAACCATAGAAAGTTTGACCAGGAGAATGATAAGATAAAAACCATTATTATGGAAAAATAATTAATGATTGTGCTTAAAATGTATTGCATAGGCCAGGCATGGTGGCGTGATACCTGTGCTCCAGGCACTTTGTGAGCCAAAGCGGGAGGACCACTGTAGGACAGCAGTCCGATGCCAGCTGGGCAATGTAGTGAGATCCCATCTCTGCAAAAATTAAAAAAAAAATTAGCCATGCTTGGTGACAAACACCTATAGTCCTAGCTACCTGGGAGGCTGAGGAAGAAGGATCGTTTAAGCCCATGAGTTTGAGGTTGCTGTGAGCTATAATTGCAGCCCTGCATTCAGGCCTGGAGAGAGACCCTGTTGCCAAAAAAAAAAAAATTGAAGTGGGGATAGATTTTTGGGAAGTCATAAGATCATAATTGGGACTCGGCGCCCATAGCACAGTGGTTATGGTGCCAGCCACGTATACTGAGGCTGGCAGGTTCAAACCCAGCCCAGGCCAGCTAAAACAACAATGACAACTGCAATAAAAAATAGCCGGGTGCTGTGGCAGATGCCTGTAGTCCCAGCTACTTGGGAGGCTGAGGCAAGAGAATTGCTTGAACCCAAGAGTTTGTGGTTGCTGTGAGCTGTGATGCTACAGCACTCTACCGAGGGAGACATAGTGAGACTCTGTCTCAAAAAAAAAAAGAGCTTTGGGAGACCGAGGCAGGATGATCGCTTGAGCCCGGGGGTTCCAGGCTACAGTGAGCTGTGGTTGCAGCACTGCACTCCAGCCAGGACGAAGAAAACTACCGATACGGGGAGAAATCAATGAGATAACTAGCAGAAAAAACAAGAACGAAGGAGAAGACACACACGTCATCCCCCTTCTTCTTTGACGACTAACTATAAGTTATTTTTCTTCCTTTTCCAAATATTACCAATAATTATGAACAACTGGGGCAAGGATGGGATCTTTTTTCTTTTATCTCAACAATATTCGGGCAGTCAGTGTGCTGAATACAAAAATTCAGAAAAAAAGGAATAAGTAATCATTTAGCGAAAGGACAAGGTTTTAGGCAGAATCCAGCCAGCACATAATGCCACATGTCCTCCAGGAGAGGGATGGTGCCTGCTCACTGGAGAGCGTGTTCTGGACCCCACTCTGGAGCTTACTGTCCTGGAGACAGGATTGAGTATTCACAGTATGACCTAAGAGAAAGGGCTTGGAGACGACTTCATAACGGCCTTACATATATATAAAGTCAGACATGGAATTTCAATCAAGAAATGTTCAGGTCTACCCAGATATTTGTTTTTTTAAATTAATCTATTAGTATTATGGATGTATTGAATTCACAAATAGGATTCACCCGGGCTTTCCTTAAATCGAAACTCCTTTGTATAATTTAAGTGACTACCAAACATTCACATATATGTGGGGTCAGGCACTGGAGTGTGATGGGAAAACGTCAGAAGTGTTAGGAACCATAGCCAACTTTAAATTAGAATAAATTACACTTATTAGCGACAAAGCCAAAGCATTTCAAAATATCAGTTGCTGTTACTGAAAGTTCTGTATTTGTTACTGAGGCTGAATCAGTGAGAACAGAGAACAGAGAACAGAGACAAGACATCTGAGCAGAGAGGAGAAGCTTATTAGTTGGGAGGCAGATGAGGAGGGTGGCAGCGTGCATCTCACGGGACCACCTCCCTTTCTGCAGGGAAACAGGGCTGTGCAGAGGGAGGTTCGGCAGGAGGGCTCAGACCAGCTTGCCCAGCATCACCTGCTGCAGCTTCGGGTAATTGTCACTTAACTAGAATCTGTGCTTTCGGCCTTGGGCCACCCTGACCCAAGGTGGCTATCACCTTGACATTTTGGATTTTCAGGGGTGGGGAAAGTATTTTTTTTTGCCTTTTTTTTTTTTTAAGATAGAGTCTTAACTTTGTCACCCTCGGTAGAGTTCTCTGATTTCACAGCTCATAGCAATCTCCTCTTGCCTCAGACTCCTAAGTAGCTGGGATTACAGGCACCTGCCACAACGCCCAGCTATTTTTAGAGACCAGATCTTACTCTGGCTCAGGCTGGTCTTTTTTTTTTTTTTTTTTTTGAGACAGAGCCTCAAGCTGTCCCCCTGGGTAGAATGCTGTGACATCACAGCTCACAGCAACCTCTAACTCCTGGGCTCAAGCGAGTCTTCTGCTTCAGCCTCCCAAGTAGCTGGGACCACAGGCGCCCGCCACAATGCCTGGCTATTTTTGGTTGCAGCTGTCATTGTTGTTTCGGTGGGCCGGGGCTGGATTTGAACCCGCCACCTTAGGTGTATGTGGCTGGCACCTTAGCCACTTGAGCCACAGGCGCCGAGCCTGTTTTACTATTTCCATCCTTCTAATGGCAAAACCAAGGCTCAGAGTCCCCAGAACTTACAGGAATTGATAGGGTAGTTGCCACCTTTATACTTGCTGGGTCTTCCTTTTTTCTCAAAGGGTAGGAGTCCTATCTCTCATTCTAACCCTCTTTTTTTTTCTTCTTTTATAAGACAGAGTCTGACTTGTCACCCTCAGTAGAGTGCCCTGGCACTCAAGCAACCTCAAATTTTTGGACTCAAGTGATTCTCTTGTCTCAGCCTCCTGAGTAGCAGGGACTACAGGCACCCACCACAACATTGGCCTGGCTAGTTTTAGAGACGGGGGGTCTCACTTTTGCTCAGGCTGGCCTCGAACCTGTGAACTCAAGTATTCCACCTGCCTCGGCCTCCCAGAATGCTGGGATTGCAGGTGTGAGCCACTGAGCCCAGCCCAGACAATTCTTTTCCTGCAGTTTTGGCCAGGGCTGGGCTTGAACCCGCCACCCCCGGTAAATGGGGCTGGCGCCCTACTCCTTGAGCCACAGGTGCTGCCCCCAGACAATTTTGTTTTAAGATGAGAGGCAACAAACAGCAAGGAACATATTTCTATTCCTTTAATCTCTGACCTTGGGTCAGTTTTTTTGAATTCTGAAGTCATTGGTGGCAAGGCTCTGTCACTGTCATTACAAGTTTCAGTGAATCAACTGAGGAGTTAAATGATTTAAGAGCCCCTGTCTTAGGAGTAAACTTCCATCCTGTCTTCCTCAAATGCATCAGACCCACCGTAACTCACTCAGAGTGAGGCCGCTTGCTCAGGCCCGTTCAATGTGGCTCCCTGGGCCATGCTCACTCATACTCGGCTTAGGGGAGAGCTCTTTAAATTATTTTAGAGTTTGGGTTTTCTCTTTTCTGTTGACGGTGGTTTCAAAGTTACTTTCTTTATACAGTTAATGCAGTGGGGACTTCCTCATTACTGACTCGGAGGTTGGCTGGATTTTCCTGGAAAACTGGGTTTCAAAGTTCAGTTTGATTGCTGGCACTTAGCACAAATGACTCCTTTCTGGTTCAGTGGGGTCTGCTGGGGACTCTGTCCCAAAACGGCAGCTGCCATGAACTTGAGCAATGGCCATCTCACCAGCAAGTGGCAGAGCTGGGCTTGGAACTCGGACCTCATCCTGCCCTGCCCCTTCCCAGTGCAGCTGAGTGGAGAAGGGTTGGGGTGAGCTGGGGAGAACAGTGCAGGAAAGGGTTGGGACATAGCAGAAGTCAGCTGACAACACTGAACAAAGGTTTGTTTTTTGTTTTTTGTTTTGAGACAGAGTCTCACTATGTCACCCTCAGTACAGTGCCATGGTGTCACAACTTACAGCAAACTCTAACTTTTGAACAAAAGCTTTGAAAATGATTAGCACTCAAGGCTGAGCACAGTGGCTCATGCCTATAATCCCTTGGGCTTAGGAGTTCAAGACCAGTCAGAGCAAAAGTGGGACCCCATCTCTACCAAAAATAGAAAAACTAGCCGGGTGTTGTGACGGGCACCTGTAGTTCCAGCTACTTGGGAGGCTGAGGCAGGAGGATCGCTTGAGCCCAAGAGTTTGAGGTTGCTGTGAGCTATGATGCCACAGCACTCTACCCAGGGTGACAGAGTGAGACTCTGTCTCAAAATAAATCAAAATAGGGGTCCATGAAAATGATCCATACTCAGCTTCAATAGAATTTGCTTTATTCAATGGAGCATGGCAATTTTGGAGCAGGGGTCCACTGGCCTGAGTCAAAGCCAGCATCAACTGGTTCCTGCCAAGGCGAAGCCTAAAGCTGAGTGTACTTTTAGACCTTTTGCCTCATTTTAATCCTAAAAATCACAAATAAGGGTGGAGATTGAATGTGCCGATGAGACGTGATGAATGATGGGCATGACCTAAGGCTCTGCAGCTGCCCACAGAGCTCAACCACTACGTGCTGGGATCTCAGTGCTGGCATCAAGCTTTCTCTCCCCTTTGAAGGTTCCCAGCCCTGGCCAGTCTGGGTGCTCCTCAACCAGCACCGTCTCTCTCTCTCTCCTGTTCCAGCAACCTTACCCCACAGCCTTGACTGTATAAAGTCCTTTTTTGGTCTCCTGTCAATTCCTGTTGACTTGGGAGACCAAGAACTCTGAGGTCAGATATTTAAAAAAATCTCTCTTTATATCTCAGTTTTTAATAGGACGCATTAACAATGCACAAGGAAAGGACAACTAGGTTTCAGAACTGGAATGTAAAAGTCCTTTCAGGGGAAATAGTGGGGCTCTGTGAAAGGACAGGCATAGGGCTTCCAACATAAAAGGGCGTCTCTGTATGACGTCTGGTAGAGTGCAATTCTGAAAGCAGAAAAATATACCAAAGGATTTCTGTGTCAGATCCCCCTTAGTCGTGGGTAATAGGTGGCCCGAGGGTTAAGCCCTCCCTTAACACTTAACAAGTGTTCCTTGTCCTCGAAAGCATTTGCTTTGTCTTAAATGGCTGCCGTTGGGCCGTCCTGTTCGCTCTGTTGCTTACTGCTGAATTGTGAATATCAAGTTTAACACTAAATTCTGCCTGACAGGTACCACCCAGAGAGCGGCACACCCTCCAAGGACTCTGCTGTCCCTCGTCCTTCAGACCTCAAGGAGCTGTCTCCTCCAGGGCAGGGTGCCACTCGGCCCCTGCCTACCCCCTCCAGGAGGAGCTGCCACTCCATACCCGCTACTGGCCAGGCCGTCAGAGAGCCATCTTGCCCCACAAACACAAAAGAACCCCAGGGACTTCCAGATCACAAAGACTCCTTAAGTGAAATTCCTTTTAAGTGCAGTGGGAGCAGAAATGAGTTTTACTTAGGAAATCCCCTCCGACCTCCCCCTTTACAGAGCGACTCAAACCCGGAGAGAAAGGAGTCGGAACTTCATCTGTATGTTATTTCCACAACCTCTTCAATATTTCTGCTCTTAAAAAGTTCGTGGAAAAATTATATTATAGTAAGTGTCCCCATGAGCTAACCTGGACTTGAACTTTTTTTTAGGGTGGACATGGCATCCTGTTTTACTTCCAATTTTGGAAATTTAGCCTTGGAATTTGTTAATATGTATATTGTGAGGGACAAAATGCACTGGAAAGTTAAGAGATGATTTGATGCAGGTTGTTGGAGCAGGAAGAATGCACGTTAATGAGAAGTGTCACACAGTGGTTCTCAACCTTCCTAATGCTACGGCCCTTTATACAGTTCTTGTGGGTCACGACCCATGGGTTGAGAGCTGCTGGTCTTACAGAAAAGGAGAAGAGCTGGGCTTTCATAGAGACAGGTGAACAAGGACGTTGTCATTAGGTCTCCTGGGGGTCGTGAGAGAGGGTGGAAGGGGGTCTCATCATGGGCTCTTTGTGAACAGGTGGTCTGCTTAGGACAGTTCCTGAAGGGTCACAGACCTCAGATAAAGTTCACTTTCATCGCCGATGTTTCTGTCTTTCTCAGCCACGCTACGGAAAGTAGGTTAGTGGGAGTCACTGTTTTAAGATCAGATAATTTTATCTGGAGATTATTAGTCTAAGTGCCTTATTTAAGAAAATGAAGCCCAAAATATTTAAGTGACTTATTCAAGATTATGTAGAAACTTTAGGGGCACAGTCTAAACTCACACACACTTCAGGATCAGATCATTTTATTATAACAGGATCAAGTTTAAAAACAGGAACTTTATTAAAGGAGTAATAGGGGCCGGGCACGGTGGCTCAGCCTGTAATCCCAGCACTCTGGGAGGCTAAGGCAGGTGGATTGCCTGAGCTTAGGAGTTCAAGACCAGCCTGAGCAAGAATGAGATCCTGTCTAAAAAATAGCCAGGTGTTGTGATGGGTGCCTATGGTCCCAGCTACTTGGGAGGCTAAGGCAAGAGGATCACTTGAGCCCAAGAGTTTGAGGTTGCTGTGAGCTGTAACACCATGGCACTCTACCAAGGGTGACAAAGTGAGGCTCTGTCTCAGAAAAATGGGAGTAATGTGGTCCTTTGATGTATCTTCAGTGATACGTAACTTTTGTTCTTGCTCTTCCCTAAGGGTGGGAGGGAAGCTGACCCTAACTAGCTTCTCTTTGCTTCTGACGCCCTGTAGTAATGTTCTTTCAGTTAAAAGCTTTTGCTTAACTCTTCACATAGGTGAGAAGGAAGATGACAACTGTCCACTTTCCCAACTAATTTCCCTGGAGATAAGGAAAATACACATATGAGTAACAAGTTCATGTTCAAGATTCTTAGGAGCACACTGACCTGCGTCATCCTAAGTGAACTGACTGAGAGCAGAGAAGTTTTACACCCAGATGTCTGTGGTCCTTGGTCACCTCTTGCAACCCAAACCCCTTTCTGGGTGGCGCCTGTGGCTCAAAGGAGTAGGGTGCTAGCCCCATATACCAGAGGTGGCGGGTTCAAGCCCAGCCCTGACCAAAAAAAAATTGCTCAACCCCCTTCTTCCTCTTCCCTTAACAAGAAAAAGAGCCTAAAATTCTTACTAATTTACTGTCCTTGGGGATGTTAGTCCGCCATCTCTGTTGGCAGGCTCTGTAAGTAAAGGTTGCTTTCCCCAGCCCCAGCACCTGCCTCTCGAGTACTGTCTATCCTGTAGCAAATGGTCTGGACATGACCTTGGTTACACTTTCAACATCATAGTATTAATGAACATGAAAGACAAACTCAGAAGAAACTAAGTAATGGAGTTTTATAAATGGCTAACATTATAAAAGTTTACAAGTTAACTCATTTTTTTGGCTGGCGCTGGGTTTGAACCCGCCACCTCCAGCATATAGGGCCAGCACCCTACTCCTTTGAGCCATAGGCGCTGCCCTTCTTTTTTTTGAGACAGAGTCTCACTGTGTCACCCTGCATAGAGTGCTGTGGTGTCACAGCTCACAGAAATTTCAAACTCTTGGGCTTAAGTGATTCTCTTGCCTCTTCCTCCTGAGTGGCTGGGACTACAGGCACCTACCACAATGCCCGGGTATTTTTGTTGTTGTTATTGTTGTAGTTGTCATTGTTTAGCAGGCCCAGGCTGGGTTTGAATCTACCAGCCCTGGAGTATGTGGCCAGTGCCCTAACCTTTGAGCTATGGGCGCTGTGCCTCATTTTTTTCTTATAGCACAATTCAGAACACATTAAATATTTAAAAATCCTCTCTAAGTTTTTATTTTTTAATTTAATTTATTTATTTATTTTAGAGACAGAGATTCACTTTGTCACCTTCGGTGCTGTGGCATCATAGCTCACAGCAACCTCCAGCTCTCCATTCTTTTGCCTCAGCCTCCCGAGTAGCTGGGACTACAGGTGCCCACTACAGTGCCTGGCTATTTTTTGGTTGCAGTTGGCTGGGGCCGGGTTTGAACCTGCCACCCTCAGTATTTGGGGCCAGCACCCTATTCACTGAGCCACAGGCGCCGCTGCTCTCTAAATTTTTAAACAGCTGTCTTCAAGTTAAAAATTTAAACAAATCAATAGAGGAAAACCCTGACCTATTAATAAAAGATTTCAGCCTGGGCCATAGTGAGACCCTGTTTCTACAAAATAGTTAAAAATTAGCCAGGCTTGTTGGTGCGTGCTCATAATCCTAGCTACTCAGGAGGCTGAGATAGGAGGATCACTTAAGCCCAGGAGTTTGAAGTTGCTGAGAACTGTGATTGGGCTACTGCACTCCAGCCTGGGGGATAGAGGAAGACCCTGCCTCTACAAAAATAAATAAATAATATATATATAAAGATCTCATATATCCAAATAGAAAAGCCTAAACTTAATTGACTATAAAAAGTCTATACATTTGTTCGAAATGACTGTTCATGCTTCCCTGAGTTGACCAACTCCAAGTTTTGGAAATACTTTTAAATTTTGCAAGCAGAGGCATGGCTGGGGCAAGGCAGGTTGGCCAACTCATTACCTTCGAGCTATATGTATCCCTTCCGATAATAAATGCAACAGCAATAACTACCATGAGCTGGGTGCAGGGGCTCACACCTGTAATGCCAACAAGTTCAGAGGCTGAAGCAGGAGAATCGATCGCTTGAGGTCAGGAGATCAGCCTGGGCAACATAGTGAGACTCCTGTTTCTAAAAATTAAAAAAGACTTTTTAAATGTTCTATCTCTTGAAAGAAGGAAAAGGAATAAGCAAGTCTTCCCCAGGGAAATGGTAACTCAAGTTAGCAGCCCTTCTGGTAATAATAGGATATTAATTCAAAGTGAACACTTTAAAGTTGGGGCTTGTTTTGTGACATTGTTGAATTTTCAGGTTAGTCAACTTTGGTCAGTTTTGGTGATGTATTGATATGTTTTAGGACATTGAAAAGAAACTCATGTCCTAAGGCTGTAAGACTTATCTTGGGTAAACTGATCTCTTATGCCTTGAGATCCAGAAGGATCATTTATGTTGAAGTAGAGATTTGTTCTCTGTTATTTTAGATAAAATGAACTCAAACCATCCAAATAGAAATCATTATCACTCATCTTGGTTCTAAGGATTTCCTAAGCGTTGCATCTCCTTCAAGTAGCCCAATTTGTCTGTAACTTTCACCGCAAATAATTATGTCTGCATTGATTAGCATCTGAAATTCTGTAAAGATGAAATGTGGTAATTCTTTGTTCTTTATACGTTGTGAAGATAGTTGCTAGGAATCAGATAACTGGGGATACCCCAAAGTAAAATTCTAGATATAAAGAAAACATGGGCATTAGGAAGCAACAAGAAAAAGCAGCACCCCCTAACGCCCTGCGCCCTCTGCTGTGCCCTGAGGACGGGACAGGGCTGGGCGTGCTGAGCGCTGCAAACCAGCCACGCTTCAGAGATTCCTTCTGACCTGTGAAACTTCAACATAAACAAAACATTACTTAGAGAAGTTGCTGAATACTACATGTCTGTTTTGAGAACTCAGAATAAATGGAACTTCAGACCTGTAAAACTTCAACATAAATGAAAGATTACTTAGAGAAGTTGCTGAATATTACATACCTGCTTTGAGAACTCAGAATAAATGGAACTTCAGACCTGTAAAACTTCAATATAAATGAAAGATTACTTAGAGAAGTTGCTGAATATTACATCTGTTTTGAGGACCTGGAATAAATCCAACACTAAGGATTTAAGGAAAAATAACTCCATTAATAAGGGAATAGTGAACAGAAGTATTATGTATTTGTGCTATGGAATGCTAGGTAATCATTATACAGATTGAATTCAATCTATATGCACACACAGGAAAAACTGTCCACCATGTATTAAGTGAAAAAAAAAACAGATTAATATATGTGATATAATTTATTTAGGATTAAGTACATATTATAAACACATACTATATCATATATAAATGGTATAAATGTATACGTTATAGTCAATAAGTCTTTATATGCCTGAAAGGGTACAAACCAAACTATAAATAGGCAGAGACTGAGTAGTGGGATTGAGGGGAAAAGAGAGAATTTTTATCTTTTACTTATGGATTTCTGGATTGTTTGGTTTTCATGAATAATTATATTTTATAATAATTAAATGCTGTCTTTAAAACTTTTAAAAACTAGATAAGGAAGAAATTCTCTGTAGTTTATCAAACACTGCACTGAGTTATAAAAAAAAACCTGTACAATGTATAAGATCAAAGGATTGATATGTGATATTGACTGCAGGGGGAATTGATTTTCAGTAAACAAAAACTCTGACAATATGCACTTTTCTCCTCTTTCAGAAAGCTACTCTTTTACAAGACCCCTTGTATGCTAGTGAGTTCAGTTCTGCTGCTGCGTGTCAGAAGCCATACAGGTGAGGAGTTCCAACAAGAGAGGGTCACTTGGGGGGGTCTTCTCTCCCCAGCCTTCCCTAACTCTGTCCCACATACAGCTGATTGGCACATCCATGTGTGTGCCCAGCTGTCTGCCCTGAGGGAGGTGTACAAACACAGGTGTGCACGCCACACCCTGCACGCATCTTACCAGGACTTTAACTCAGCACATTCAAAAGAGAACTCGGGGGCTGCGCATGGTGGCTCACACCTGGAATCCTAGCACTCTGGGAGGCTGAGGTGGGTGGATTGCCTGAGCTCATGGGTTTGAGACCAGCCTGAGCCAGAGAGAGATCCCTGTCTCTAAAAATAGCCAAGCAGGCACCTATAGTCCCAGCTATTTGGGAGGCTGAGGCAAGAGAATCGCTTAAGCCCAAGAGTTTGATGTTGCTGTGAGCTGTGATGCCACGGCACTCTACCCAGGGCGACATAGTGAGACTCTGTCTCTAAAAACAAACAACAACAAAACAAAAGAGAACTCAGCAGCTGCACCCTGTTTCCCCGCACAGAGCTTGATGTCATTACCCCATCACCTAGTCTGGAGTCCTGGATGTCACCTGTCCCCCCTCCCCTTCAACAGCCACTCACAGTGTGACTTACTGTGCTTCTTATAGCTGCATGGCATCCACTCCTCTCCACCGTGCAGACCCGTTACCTCTGTTCAGGGACCCTGCAGCGTTTTCCTAGTGGGCCTCTCACCCACTCCTGCCTCTCTCCAGCCCGCTTCCCATTACAGAGGAGGAATCTTCCTGAAGCACAAATCAGATCTGTAACTCCCCCCTGCGAGCCTTCGAGGGGCTTCTCATAGCCGTTAGGTGAAAGAATAAACTCTGACAGCTAACAGAGATGTTCGTGACGTCTGTTATTTTTTATCTTAGCTATTGTGTCCCTCCTCACTCCTGCCCTAAACCCCTGCTCCACAAGACCTCAAAGTTCTCGGGAAGCTCCCCGCTCCCCTCTCTCGGGGCCCTGTCCTGCAGCCCATCTGGCCACTCTCCTTCCCCTTCCTGGATCACTTCAGCTCATCATGTCCTAGCTTATCTATCTTTTCCCTAAAGAGCCTTCTTGACCCCCCAAACTAGGATGAAAGGGCCCTCTGTGACACCCTGTGACAGCTGTGGCACTCTGTCTGTGTTAACGATGCTCGTTTGATTATCTGCTGCCCTGTTACGTAGTATAGTACATAAGGCAGAGGCTGCTCCCAGATCACAAAAGGCCCCGCTCTCCAGGCTGAGGCCCCACGTTCCATCCACACTTCAAGGGCTCCGTCATGTTCTCACCGCAGGTTGGTCTTACATTACAGGACCTGCTTCAATGTGACAATCTCTTCTGTTAAATAGTAAGTTCTTGGAAGGCAAGGAATATGTCATTTTATTTTATTTATTAATTAATTAATTAATTTATTTTTTTGTAGAGACAGAATCTCACTTTATTGCCCTGGGTAGAGTGCCGTGACGTCACATAGCTCCCAGCAACCTCCAACTCCTGGGCTTAGGTGATTCTCCTGCCTCAGCCTCCTGAGTATCTGGGACTACAGGTGCCCACCACAATGCCTGGCTATTTTCTGTTGCAATTTGGCTGGGGTTGGTTTTGAACCCACCACCCTTGGTATGTGGGGCCGGCACCCTACCCATTGAGCCACAGGCACTGCCTGAATATGTCATTTTAATGTTGGTATTTTTCTTACTTAAAACAGTGCTTTGCACATGGTAAGTACCTGATGAACTTACAATGTAAATAATTTTGATGTCCGGTAAGTCGTGGGCAAGTTGGGAGAGGTTTACAATAGTGAGGCAACCCAGGGAGTCCCGTAAAGGGGCTACGAGTAAACCACCTTTTAAAGATGCTTATTCATCTCACCACTGAAAGGAACCAAAGTTCCTAAGAAGAATGGCTGATTCCATGTCTGGGGCAGGAAGTATACAAAATGAATCTCAACCAGCTTATACAAGAAATCCAACAATGGGCCCTAACTAAGGGACACAGAGCCCTGAAGGGCCCCCGCTGGCCAAGATGGGACGACACAGCATCGGGAAGAAGTGAGGAGTAAGGTGATTGAAGCAGGATCCCTGCTAGCGAATGTGGTGGGTTTAATATAGTTAGAACATTGTTATTTTGCAAACTCTAATGAAATAGCAGATTGACATGTCAGTCCTCAGCAGATGAAATGAGGAGAGCAGCAAAGCAGAACTTGAAAGTGGAAGGAGTGTGTGTGAGTGACTAAACCCACTGACTGTCCTCAAGCAGGACAACCTCACGTGCTCCAGGATTTGATGTGACATGAACTGCACAGCAGCACCATGAAGGATTTCTGTTATGATAGTTAAGCCTGAATCTGACTTGAAACCGTGGGCAAGCCAGCATCAAAGTTCTGACACCTGCTACCGAGTGGGTGAACCGGAAGGCCGTGATGCCACGTGAGATCAGCCAGACAGAGATGGACCCGTATCCCAGGATCCCACTTAGACAAGGACCCAGGAATAGGCAGACTCATAGAGACTGATGTGGAACAGAGGTGACCAGGGGCTGCGGGGAGTGGGGACTGGAGCGCTAAGTGTTTCATGGGTCCAGAGCTTCTGTTTGGGAAGATGAGAATGTTCTAGGAATGGATGGTGGTGATGGTTACATGCTTAATGGAATGCACTTAATGACATTGAAAAAACGGTCACTGCTCGGTGCCTGTGGCTCAAGTGGCTAAGGCGTCAGCCACATACACCTGAGCTGGCGGGTTCAAATCTCAGCCTGGGCCTGCCAAACAACAATGACGGCTGCAACCAAAAAGTAGCTGGGCGTTGTGGCGGGCGCCTGTGGTCCCAGCTACTTGGGAGGC